TGATTAACAGTTCTAGTAGCCAAACATACTGGACAACGCCAGTCTTGATTTTTATGTTAGTATCATACTTTACGACGTGAAATAAGTCAGACAGAGAAAGACAAATATATTATACTGCTTATATTTGCAATCTTAGAAAAATAATACAAATGAACTTATTTATAAAATAGAAAGACTCACAGACTTAGAAAACAAACTATGCCAGAGGGGAAAGGTGAGGTGTGTGATAAATTGGGAATTTGAGATTAACAGATACACACTGGGTGTATAAAATGGATAAGCAACAGGGTCCTACGGCAGAGCTCAGGGAATTCTACTCAATATTCTGTAATCCTATATGGGGAAAGAATCTGAAAATGAATGGATATATATGTATACATGGGCTTCCCCCACGGCTTAGCAGTAAAGAATCTGCCTGCAATGCAGAAGCTGCAGGAGACATAGGTTTGATTCCTGAGTCAGGCAGATTCCCTGAAGGAAGGCATAGAACAGCATTCTTGCTGGGAAAATTCTGTGGACAAAGAAGCCTGGTGGGCTACAGTTCATAGGGTTGCAAGGAGTCAGTACACAACTGAAGCCACTTAGCATGCACCCACATACTGAATCACTCAGCTGTACACCGGAAACTAACACGACCTTGTAAATCAATGACAGTCCAATATAAAATAAAAATTTTAAAGAAGACTTAAAGAAAAAAAGCAAATTTTTATAGAAAAAGTAATTAATGTAAGAGATGATCGTAAACAATTTTCTCTTACCTACACAAATCTTCTTTGATTTGAAGAGAGATCAATTCCTTAGGAATATGAAAAGAAAGTATGCTCTCTGACATCTGCTCCCGGATTTGCATCCACTTATTGTCAGAAGTGGGAAATCTGTATAATTTACACACTGGGTTCTTTAACACTGGAAAAGGAGACAAAAATCAAGATTAATAGTCAGATTATAAAGATATGTCCATTAGATAAAGATCAAGTAACAACATCATTAATCAGGCTACCATTCTAATTATTTATTTGATGAAAAATTTTTATTATAACCCATAGTGTATTTGAGTTCCTAAGAATTTTCTCCATACACCTTATTTTTTTCAGTAGCTTCTGGGACATCAGTCTGTATTAAATTAGAAAGTGATACATCAAATTCCAATTCATAAAGTGGCCACTGTGGTTCTCTGATATACTGCCTAATAATTCTTTTCCCTTCTAAAGATTTTCTTATAGTATATGTATTTATAACTATAGATGAAAATATATGGATTTATATATCATACATACTTTGAAAAAATACATTTCTGAATTTCTTCCAATCACTTTTAGTCAACTTTACCCACATACATAGTAGGTGACAACTGATATGTTATATTAAAGGTTCTAAATGACCCTACTACCAAAAGTGACTTATTTCTTAAATGTCAAAAGGTTTATTCTTAGTTTAAGATCTATTACCATTCAAATATTATTCATACTTCAGTGCCACTAAGTCAATAACACACTTTCCTGAAACCATACATTATTAAAAGCAGAATAGGGAAACTATGGAACAAACTGAATATTTGGGGTGTGTGGGCAGTGATTAGGGGAAAAGTAACATGGTCATGTCATTAAGGATTTTAAAAGATTAAAAGAAAAAGTTCAAGACTAGATATTAAGATAATACTTGAGACACCTTTTATGAGGCCAGCATTCCTGCTGCGCTACCAAGCCCTGTATTTCAGGGCAAGGTTTTATCTCCACTGCTGTAGGGCGATGAATGTAAAAGAAGCTTTTGAACAACAAAGGAAACTATAAGCAAGGTGAAAAGACAGCCCTCAGATTGGGAGAAAGTAATAGCAAATGAAGCAACAGACAAAGGATTAATTTCAAAAATATACAAGCAACTCCTCCAGCTCAACTCCAGAAAAATAAATGACCCAATCAAAAAATGGGCCAAAGAACTAAACAGACATTTCTCCAAGGAAGACATAC